AAATACCGAATACATACTCAATGCTAGACCCTGGAGATAAAAAAAGACAAAAATGGTAATTCCAGCACTCAAGGAGTATGTAGTTTATTAGGAATAATAACATGTACACATAATAAATATAATCAAAGTAAATATAAAGGAATGTCAGTCTATCTGTGACCACATAAGGTACCAGTAGTTCTGTTTACATAGGTACACTATGTACCTTGGAGACTATATTCTCTGTCTTTCCATATGTAGATTTTTCTTTACATATAAGACATGCCTGTTCAGCATATTGCATATTTATAGTTGTATGCTTATGCAGATGTTGTGATAGATATTTTCTATTTCTGACACAGGTTTATAACCTTTTTTATAACCTCTTTGAGGCTTTTAAAAAATTCTAACTCTTTTTAATGATTTGAGGGTGAATTTTCTTAGATGATATTATGAATAAGCCCACCATAATATGAATTATAAAAGATGTATTGATAGAAAGCATTCAACCAGTAATGTACTCTAATGTCTTTCTCAGTGGTTTTGTAAGTTTCCAATACAAATTGACAACTTGTATAAAAAAATGAGATAACAAAGACAAAAAAAAACACACAACCTTAAAATTATACAAATGGCTAAGTGTACATTTTTATGTTACATGACTTATGTTTGGAAGACATTAAGGAAAGTTTCTTGATTAATTTTTAATTAATCAGAGACTAAATTAATGAGAGACCAAACTCTCATAACAATGTCAAAGCTCCTACATCTAAAGACTCCAAGAAAAATATGAATTGGTCTCAGGCCATGAAAGATGTTGAAAAGGATTTTGAAAACCAAGTAAAAGTGGTAGAGGAAAAATTTGGAAGAGAAGTGAGAGTGATGCAAGAAAATCATGAAAAACGTGTTGTCAACAGCTTTGTAAAAGGGGACACAAAAAAGTACTGAGGAAAACAACATCTTAAAAAGCAGACTAGGTCAAATGAGGTACAAAAAGCCAATGAGGAGAAGAGTGACTTAAAAAGCAGAATTGGATCAACTGGAAAAAGAGGCACAAAAATTCACTGGGGGGGAAAAAACCTCCTAAAAAGTAGAATTGGCCAAATAGAAAAGGAGGTGCAATAGCTCATCGAAGAAAATAATTTCTGAAAAATTAGAATTGAGCAAATGGAAGCCAATGACTATGAGAAATCAAGAAATAATTTAAAAATCCCAAAAGAATGAAAAAATAGAAGACAATTTGAAATATTGGAAAAGTAACTGACCTGGCAAATAGATCCAGGAGAGATAATTTAAAAATTACTGGATTACCTGAAAGCCATGATCAAAAAAAAGAGCATCATTTTTCAGTAAATTATCAAGGAAAACTGCCCTGGTATTCTAGAAGCACATGGTAAAATAGAAATTAAAAGAATCTACCAATCACCTCCTGAAAGAGATCCCAAAATGATAACTCCTAGGAATATTATAGCCAAATTCCAGAACTTCCACTTCAAGGAGAAAATATTGCAAGCAGCCAGAAAGAAACTATTCAAGTATCATGAAGCCACAGTCAGGATAACACAAGATCTAGCAACTTCTACATTAAAGGATCAGAAGGCTTGGAATATAATATTCCAGAGGGCCAGTGAGCTAGGATTACAACCAAGAATCACCTACCCAGCAAATTTCCAAGGGGAAAAAATAGACATTTAATGAAATAGAGGACTTTAAAGAATTCTTGATGAAAAGACCAGAGCTGAAAAGAAAATTTGATGTTCTAGTATAACACTTAAGAGATGCATAAAAAGGTAAACAGGAAAGGGAAATCATAAGGGACTTAAATAAGGTTAAACTGTTTACATTCCTACATGGGAAGATAATACTCGTAACTTATAAGAACCTTCTCATTATTAGGGTAATTAGAAGGAGTATGTGTAGACAGAGGGCACAGGTGTGAGTTGAATATAAAGGGATGATATCTAAAAAAAGAAAAATTAAGGAGTGAGAAAGAAGAATGCCCTGGGAGAAAGAGAAAGGGAGAGGTAGAATGAGGTAAATTATTTCATATGAAAGAGGCAAGGGAAAAAAAAACCTTTTACAGTGGAGGGGAAGTAGGGGGAGTGAGTGAACCTTACTCTCATCAGCATTAGCTCAAAGAAGGAATGCACACTCAATTGTATATAGAAATCTTATCTTACCCTACAGGAAAGTAGGAGGGGAACTGGATAATAGAATGGGGGCAGATTGAGGGAGGGATAGTCAGAAGCAAAACACTTTTGAAGAAGGACAGGTAAAAAATGGAAGGGGGATAGGATGGAGGGAAATACAGTTAGCAATAGTAACTATGAAAAAACATTCTGAAGTAAGTTTCTCTGATAAAGGCCTTATTTCTCAAACATATAGAGAACTGATTTAAATTTATAAAAATATGAGCCATTCCCCAGTTGATAAATGGTCAAAAGATATGATCAGTTTTCAGATGAAGTAATCAAAGCTATCTATAGACATATGAAAAAAAATTCTAACTATTGATTGAAGAAATGCAAATTAAAACAATTCTGATGTACTACTTCATACCTAATTGATTGGTTAATTGGACAGAAAAGGAAAATGAGAAATGTTGGAGGGGATGTAGGAAAAATGAGACATTGGAGTTGTGAACTGATTTAGTCATTCTATAGACCAATTTGGAACTATGCCTAAAGTGTATAAAACCCTTTGACCTAGCAGTACCAATACTTGGTCTGTATCCCAAAAGAGATAAAAAGCAAAAAGGAAAAGGACCTATATGTACAGAAATATCTATAGCAGCTCCTTTCTCATGGCAAAGAATTGGCGATTGAGAGGATGCCTATCAGTTGGAGAATGGTTAAATAAATTGTGGTTATGTGATTTTGATGGAATTGTACTCTAAGAAATGATGAGCAGGATGCTCCCAGAAAAACCTGATGCAAAGTGAAATGTACTGTGTACAAAGTAACAGCAACATTGTAAAATGATCAGCTATGAATGACTTATATCTATTCTCAGCAATACAACAGTCTAAGACAGCTGTGAAGGACTTATGATGAAAAATGCTATCCATCCCCAGAGAAAGAACTGATATTGTCTGAATACAGATTGAAGCATACTTTTTTTACTTTATTTTTCTTGAGGGTTTTTTTTTTTTTGGCCTGTGTTTTCTTTCACAACATGACTGTTATGGAAATGTTTTGCCTGACTACGCATGTATAACCTATATCGAATTGCTTGCTTTCTCAGTGGGGATGGGAGGGTGAGGAAGGAGGAAGGGAGAGAATTTGGAACTCACAGTTTTAAAAACGAATGTTAAAAATTGTTTTTACATGTGTAACTGGGGAAAAATAAAATACAAAATAAACCTTAAAAAAAACTCTCCGAAAATACTTTTTACTTATAGCCTTAATAAAATACATTTGTAGATTATACACAATTATTTTATACTATAATCCATGAACAATAAATTAGTTTAAAATCTGTTAAGATAAAGTCCATAATTAGAATCTATTTCGGAATTAGGAATTCCATTTAAATTAATATCTTAAGAGATTTTCTAACATTATCTTTTCCCATGTCCTAATACAGTAAATGTGTAATGAAGGGTCATTGAATCCATTTAACTGTACTGCTTGAGAATTGTTCCTCTTCTTCTACAAAGAAGCCTGATCCTTTGGTTCTTCCAGTTCAATTTCAAACCTCTTTATACAGCATGGTTTCTTAAAATATTTATAGTTGGAAGATGTTTTGAGCTTGACAGATACATACAAATGAATCCAAATATTTTAAAAAATGAAATATGCTTTTGAATAACATTAGCATGGGAGGATGAAGGAACAAAGATTCCATTTGTCATTTTATTCCCTTTCTTTTTATTTGCATTCTTATTGAGGAGAATTTGTAAATTTAAATAATGAAAATCTAAGATTACTATAACACAACTGGGAAACTATTTTCTAAAGCAACATTGAGTAAGTACCAAATTATGTGATAATTTATTATCTCAACTATGGGGCAGCCCAAAATAGAGTTCTAATAAATTACGACCTTGGTTTGTTTCAAGTTGTAGTGTGGTGACTGCTGTCACCCTGACAACTGAAGAAGTGTGACCAGTCAAAGAATTTGTATGAAAGTAGTTTTGAAGATTTTAGATTGCTCAGCATTTTATCACTTTTGAAAAGCATTTACTGTCTTTCAGTCTTGTTAGATTGCCTGGATATGTATGATCCTTTCATAGGCTTGTACCAATATTTGTTTCGGTAATCTCATTTTTTTTCCTTTTATGTAAAACTGCCAATTTATGTTTCACAAGGCATATACAGAATACACCTTTATATTCTCACATCTGTCCCACCTATATTAAGTTTATTTCCCTGTGAAAGAATTTTAAATGGATTACAGATGTCATAAAGAGTATTATTTAGCACTCACAAGCAAAAGCATTTATACTCAAGAAGAATTATCCAAAATCCAAACATTGAAAAAAGTCATTGTATATATGTACCTTGAGCTTTTTTCTCTTGGTTAGTTCTTACATAAAGACACATCTGGGCTTGTTGTTTGCTTTAAACCTAATAATGTTTATAGATTTGTTGTTACAGTTTGGGTTAAGGTGCCTAGAGAGATCTGAGGTTAGAGAGGGAGCATGTGGACAATAGAAGTTATTCATTGCTGGATTAAAACCAAATTTAAAAAACAACAAAGCCACTAAGTCACTTGGAATCAAGAAGGCAAGAAAATACAAGAAGCAAACCAGCCAGAGCGTTGCTTGTTATGATACCTTTGTAGGCAATCTTGTAAGCAGGTTGTCTAAAGTCAGTGTTGTTGTACACCGAAAGCTATCTTCTGAGGGTCTAAGCAGATGATTTGGGTGGATGTGAATATGTTGGTAGTAAAACTATCTGTTGTTTAAGTATATCATAATTAAAATACTAATGATATGTATTGTAGGTTCTTTTACAAGTTTGGAAATAAGAAGGCCTTACACAAATAAAGCGAGTGTCATTTGTTCCTTTTTCTTTCAGATTTTGGTGTTAGCGCCTTCTTGGCAACAGGAGGTGATGTTACCCGCAATAAAGTAAGGAAAACATTTGTTGGCACCCCTTGTTGGATGGCACCTGAAGTCATGGAACAGGTAAAAAGATTATGTAATTGTTGACAGAGTATGGTAAATTTACATCATATAGACATGTCATGAATACATAATAGTGAATACATACTATGTAACATGCAGTTACATGCATGCATGTATGTTATATTAAAGTATATTTTTCTTGCAGGATGTGCAATATGTGATATTAAAGTATACTTTTCTTGCAGTATGTGATGTTAAAGTATATTTTTCTTCTTGCAACAATAGGTGAGAGGCTATGACTTCAAGGCTGATATGTGGAGTTTTGGAATAACGGCCATTGAATTGGCAACAGGAGCTGCACCTTATCACAAATATCCTCCTATGAAAGTAATTACTATTGAAAATTATATATCTGATCTTAATTCTGGTTCCAAGGAATCTGCAGTTATTTTTCTTTTGTATTCATATAAATGAACGAAACCTATGCAATCAGCTTCCGTGTTTTGTGGTTGACATTCTCTCTGAACAGAGTTACTGTGAGTGACAAAATCGATTACATCTGCCAGGATTGAAGCTTTATATTCTAAGGGTGGAGGTAAATTCAGGTTCATTATGGTTGGTGGGTAACATTATTCCTTTTGAAAGCCAGGTAAAGATAAAGTGCAGACAGAGTGCAAGGCCTTGAAGTCAGTAATACCTGAGTTCAAATGCAGCCTCAAGATACTTATTACCTGTGTGGCCCCAGGCAGTTCACTTAACCACTTTTTGCCTCAGTTTTCTCATCTGTAAAAGGGTCAATAATAGCACATACCTTCCATGATTATTGTCATTATCAAATGAAATAATATTTATAAAATGCTTGGCACATAGTAGGATCTCTATAAATATTAGCTATTATTAAATCAGCTTTGTGGCTGAGTTCCCCAACCTATCAGCCCTCTTAAATTTGTTACTGCCCTGTAAAATTCTCACCTTCCTGGTATAGGCTGTATAGGTGATTTATCTGGGTTAGTTGAAACTCCTTGAGTAATAGTAAGTGTATTTTAAATATGTTCATATTTTTTCTTAAAATTTTTCTTAAAATATTAAGTAGCCCACAAATGTGGTTTCTCTCATCTGTGAACCTATGAGCCAAGTGCTAATACACTTGGGCTGTGTGTTCAGATTGAGAAATTTTAGAATGAAGAAAATGTAAAAAACATGACTTTTTTGAGATAAGAAGGCCCAAAGTTGTTTAATCTTTCACTCCCTCTCTCCCCAAGAGCTCTTACCTAACTTTGAACGTTCTTTTGTGAAGGTCTCTTCTCCCTCCCTCCCAATTACCTTTTGTTCTTTGCTTTCTTCCTCCCCCCAGTGGTTTTTGTCTCATAGCAAAGTCACATTGACTAACCCTGGGAGCTTTACTTCATGCTTTATCCCCAGTGAACAATCAATTGTCCACTTTATTTCTTTATCAAATATTTATTCATTGATCTGAAGGAATTGGAGAAGAATCTAGGTACACATGGCATTGGCACAAGCTAATACTGATCTGTGCATTCATGGAATAAGAATATTTTGTTGCTTGAAATAATTTATTTGTAAAATCTGCTTTTCAAAAACAAACAATTTTGGGCTCCAGGAAGCTGATTTCTCCTTTTCTCCTTTGAATTTGCTGACACATCCATCACAAGTAGCCCTTAGAAGGAAGGAATTGCACCTTTTTGGTTTAAGGTTGTGTTCCTTTTGTTCTAGAGGGAGGAGGGGTCTTTTGAGCTAAGTTTGTATTTAATAAACAAGTTGTTCGTATCCAGAATGTCTTTGTTTCTTTGTCTTTTTTTTGGTGAGGCAGTGGGGTTAAATGACAGCTAGTAAATGTTATGTGTCTGAGGTCGGATTTGAACTCACGTCTTCCTGAATCCACAGCTGGTGCTCCATCCACTGCGCCACCTATTTGCCGCCCCTTTTCTGTCTTTTAAGCTCATTTTGGACAAGTTACCCCACCATTCTGTGTTATGTTCTTTTATTTCCAAAAGAGGAAAACTATTCTACTCCCTAGGATTTGGCACACTGATATTTAATTTTAGTCATGTGTTATAAAATTCTGAGTTATTTCATCTACTTTGTTGCAAATAGGGTGTTCCATGTGTCTTGAATTTACTCTGATGGTATTTGGATCTTGTGAATTTCCTAAAAGTCCTTTTTTAACTTTTGATTTCTCATCAAGGATTTGGTAATTCCATGCCTTGAAATTATTGTTACAGTTCCTTTGAGGTAATTTCCTCCTTTCTCTTTTGGTGATTTGGTTCTTTTGAAGGCTTGGTTCTCTGAAAAGTAAACAGTTCTTTGCTGGCCTTAAAAAATTAGCTAATTGGAGATTTGTTTGAGGGGGAAGTGTTGCCTAAATTTTCTTCCTTTGGATATTTGTATGCTACCCCCATCTAGAATGACATGGAATCACAAGTGACTGGCTGTTATTTAAGTGTTTTTCTTCTTGAAAACTAATTTTTATAATGGATATATAATGTTGCATTTTTATAATATATTAGCCAGCTTATTAGTAGAATGAACATGTTTCTTAGTGACTCATTCTCCACATGTGTAATAGATTTCATGATATGAGTTAGTAATGTTAAAAAAAGCTCTAAAGCATGTATGTATGTATGTTCAAAGAAAATAGAAATTCTCAATATATGTAGGAAAATAATATAATTTTGAGGAAAGTTTTCACATCAGAATTTTCTTTTTTGTACCATGTGTAAAATCACAAAGACTTTTTTTTTTGGTGAAATTACCTTCCTTTCAGGAAGGAAAGTACTAAAACTTTCCTTTTGTTTATTTCTGATATAGGTGTTAATGTTGACATTGCAAAATGATCCTCCCACTTTAGAAACTGGAGTAGAAGACAAAGAAATGATGAAAAAATATGGCAAGTCCTTTAGAAAATTACTTTCACTATGTCTTCAGAAGGATCCTTCTAAAAGGTATGTTATATCTACAAAGACAAGCTGGTTACTTGACTTAAGCTGTAAAGTTACAGAATGTTAGAGCTGAAATAGACCTTGAGAGATTGTTTACTCCAATCACTATTTATTGATGAGGAATATGGGCACAGGCACATGCGCGCGCGCGCACACACACACACACTCTCTCTCTCTCTCTCTCTCTCTCTCCTCTCTCTCTCTCTCTCTGTCTCTCTGTCTCTCTCACACACACACACACACACACATTCGCGTGTGCAAAGGATGCACGTGATGATTTAAGTTATGTTATTATTATTATTATTATGGGGAAGGATTGTGAAAGTTGGGATGATCCCTGAGCCTAGGGAAACCAAATTGACTCCTTGGGTTCCAGATGTCATATTTGCCAAGGGTAATTGCATCGGGAGAAGAAGGGTAAGGTTTGGAGAGTACCTGTCACTCATTTGCAGATGAATTGAATAGGTAAAAGTGTCAAGATCTTTTAAGACAGCATGGGGTGTTGTTGCCATTACCAGTATTTATTTTAGGTGTTAGGAGACTCTTTTCATGAAATCAAAAAAGAAATCAAAGAAAATTTTCAGGGCTTCATTTAAAAGCTCTTTTGATATCTTGAACAGGGTAGGTCGAGCTGACCTCCTATTACTTGAATATCTTGCCAACTCTAGTCTAAACCAGGCACAGCTATTGAATTTTGCATGAGTTGCTTTTTCCATACAGAACAAACATTTTGTACCACTTACGAGATTATCAGGAAAGAAGATTAAGGAAATTTCACACTAAAAAGATTAATCATATGTACAGAAGGAACAAATGGTATTCAATTAGCTGTAATGCTTCCCATTTATTCTTGGGTTATTGCTATGAATATGTGCTCTCATAGTCATTTTTTTCTCCCTTAACTTTTGTCTGTGACTTTGAAATACCCTAGGTAGCTATGATATGTTCCAGTAATCATTATTACTTCATTAGGACTTTTGGTTATCTGAACTGCTGATATATTTACCACATCTAGGCATTTCTCATATTGGTTCCTAATAATAAATCCTTTCCTGACCTTGATTAGTGTGTGCAGTATTCAGAATTATATGCTAAACTCATGGAAATAGACAGGATCTTGAGAAATTTTCTGGTCCTAGTCTATCCCTCATCTCACATAGCAAAGTAAGAGCTAGGAAAAAATGTTAGAGGTCTTATATTCTAACACATTCATTTTAAAGTTTGGAATAAGGTAAGGCCGAAGAGGGTAAGGCAACTGACCTAAGGTCTTCTACTTAGTAAATGCTGGAGGTGGGGTTTGAGCCCTGGTCTTCAGATTGTCAGTCCAACACTTTTTTCTATTACAGAACACTTAAATTGTAGTAGACAGTATAGCATCTATAATTTAAAATCCATGGTAAAGTATATTTTTCTTCCATTACCTTTCTGTGTTTTACCACTGCGTCTTTAGGAAGTTTTCTCTCTTAGCTAAATCCCACATGCATGCAACAAGTTAAGTATTTTCCTCTGTAGAAAATAACTTTCATACTTTTGTCTTGACTGTTAATTAAGAGCCAACAGTTCTAGGTCTTTTAATCTTGCTTCCTAGGTCCTATTCCCCAGCCCTTTGAATTTCATTTCTTCCTTCTAAACCTAGAGCCCTGCCTTGGAGATAATGCTTTAATAAGCCTGTGATAGCATTTTTTTATAATGGAGTTTTTACTTTGCCATTCCCAGGTAATGCATTTATAGTTTTGCTTCTTACCATTTTTCTTGCATTTGCACCTTATTTTTGACTTTTTATTATATTGCTGTGGCCTTTTTAATGTAACTTTTTTTGGTTTATTTGTCACATAGCTTATAGTTGGGAAAGTGATTTTAAATTCTAACAGAGCCCTCTTTCATCTCTTTTTATTCTGGTTTGTAAAGTAATACGATGTCATTCATTTCATTCATTACAGTCATTAATGAAAATGCTGAATAGAAATGACTTGCAGGCAGAAATACAACTTTGTTGCTCCTCCCTGTAATCCCCCATTCCTTCCATCAACACTTGGTCATTATTTTTTAGCCTTGAACTAATTATGAAATCCACTCAACATGTGTGAATTAGTGTGCAAAATCACATTTTTATAAAATAGTCATTTAATGAACATTTATCAAGTACTTACTATGTGCCTTATGTATTACCCAAACATAGATGGTAGAGTTGACAAAATATCTAGCTGTTTCTTTAAAAAAAGAATCAGTGCGAGTCTTAGGATTTCCATCCCTTTTAGGGAAGACTGTAGAGAACTCAAAATTTCTTTTAAAAACAGGGAAATGGAATTTGCATGAGTGAAATATGAGAGATAAAGAAACCTTAAGCATTTCTTTAGGGGAGAAAAGAAGTGACTTTTGCTTAAGCAAAGTACAAAGAATAAACATTTTTAAACTAGAACTTTTCAAGCTCTAGACCAGACTGCTTAGCCTTTGTATCATGTGTGCGCGCGCCCCCCCCCCCACCCCCCATGGTCATAGTCTGGTGAAGCCTAAGCATTTCCCCTTCCTTGAATAATGTTTTTAAAATGCATACAATAAAATGCATAGTATTACAAAGGAAACCAATTATATTGAATTACAGCTATTCAAATATGTATTTTATAAGCAAGTTTTTCAAACTATAGATTAAGAACCTTTGCTCTAGACTATGTTTCCTTCCACTCCTTTAAGAGTCTGTAGATGATTTATGAACATGACTGTAGAGGATCCTTTGGGGTGGACATCTGGCTTGCTGCTCTTGATTTTATATGTCCCATGAGCTAAGAAAAGTTTTTACATTTTAAAATACTGTTTTATTTGATTTAAAAATGTGAAAAACAATGTTACCCATAGGCAGCCCCCTGGTCCATTGTTTGCCCACAAGTACTTCATTTAAGGGAGAGGATCTGTTAATCTCCTGATGAAAACTGAAAACTTCTAGACTGCTGTGTGGCTTTCGAGAGCTTCAAAATGAATCATCCCTCAGACCATGGACTTTTCCTCTAGGTGCAGGGAGCTCCTGTATTTATACTGTGTTACATTGCAGTGGAAAATTGCTAGTAACCATGAAGGGAGGAAACATAATTGCAACATTCTCTCTCTTCTCTCTCTCTGTCAGCCAAATGGTTTGAATCATGCAATCTTCTCATTCTGCACTGTACTTAACAGGGAAATATAAGTGTTTCCTGTATTTTTTCCTTCATTCTAAAAGTTATATGCAGATATCCTCCTCATACTTTCTTATATTCTTTTTTATTTCCTTTTGTTTCCCACTCTTCTTTTACCTAGTATTCCCAAGGTACAGTGGAAAGGGTGCTGGACTTGTTGACGGAGGACCTTGGTTCAAATGCTGGCTGTGCTCCCTACTCTCTTGGGCAAGTCACTTAATCACACTCCAGGCCTCAGTTTCCTTATCTGTAAAGTATGGGAAGTAGACTAGGTGGCCTTTAATCTACCTTCCAGCTCTAAAACCTATGATCCTATGATGGCCTCCACTTACCTCTAAGTCTGTTTTCTTTTATTCTCACATTAGGTATATTGCTATTTGGCAAAATTGTTGGCTGCTCTTCCAAACTTTTAATCTATTTACCTAGTTTTAGGGAGAAAGCGGGCTCAATCATGTGCTGTTTCAGTGTCCTATCACCTTTGGTAAAGCAGTACCTGTTTAAATTTATTTTAAAAAGTGAATTCTGTAATCTGTTGACCCTTTTATTGGGTCATAGTGGTTTGGGGGGAGGGGGTTCATTTTTTGATAGCAAGGAAGGTATATAGAGAAATGAGAAGCCTTTTTTCCTCTTTTTCTCTTCCTGCTTTGCTTTTGGACATGCTTTCCTTATTGCCACAGAGATTATGTTGTGATAGAAAATGATGTTATTGCCCAAACTCCATGCTCTGAGATGAACCTAGCCTGGTATTGTGAAGAGAAAGCATGTTATTCAGGAGAGGAGCTTGAGGAGGAGAGCAGGAAGAGCTTCATTTTCTCACTTGAGTATCTCATTTGTGCGTCCACTGTCTCTCTTCCTCACTCCATTTATCTCACTCACAGTCTTGTATTTAATGAACTCTTAAAATTTTCATGAGGTCATTAATGCATACTTGAAACTGTACCCTTGAAGATGAAGTACTAGAAGCAGTGATAGCCTGACCAAATTGAGACCTATCAAATATTTTAGCTTCATGTTATTTTTAAATCCTACATGGTTTTTAAAATAGGGCGGTCCTTTTCCTTTCTTTTGCAGGCCCTTCAGTTTCATTTTAGGTTGTGAAACAATAGGGACAGCTAGGTGGCTCAGTGGGTACAGCACTGTACTTGGATTCAGGAAGATCGGAGTTCAAACCCTACCTCAGAAACTTTCTAGCGCTGTGACCCTCTACAAGTCATTTAACCCTGCCTGCTTCAATTTCCTCATCTGTAGAATGGGATAATAATAGTACTTACCTTTCAGGGCTGTTGTGAGCATGGCATGAGATATTTGTAAAACCTAAAAGTGCTATGTGAATGCTAGCTATTATCATTATTATTATTATTACTATTTAGTCAAATATAGCTTCAGATTTCACATAGCAGATTTTATGGATAGCTTACTCCTTATCTGTGCATTTTCTTAACTTTTTGCATATAAAGATATCAGAAAACTTATACTCACCTCACATTCCAACCCATGCATTTTTCCACTCCCCTGATGCTTTGACTTGGCTTTGTGAGTTAAAACAACAAAAACTCCTAAAAAAAACCTCCCCAAATTAAATCATGTAATATTACTACTGCTTTTAGGTTAAGTTACTTACTTCTGTTTAGACATTATAAACTCATGTATTTAGCAGCTTTTTTTTGGAGGGGAGGTGAATGGAGTGTGGCAATTCAGTTATGAGTTCATATGGAACTCCCAGTGTGGATACTTCCTCCTTGGATACAGATAGGCAATTCTTCTATCACTTATATTGTTCCTAGGAGCAGTAAGAGGCTGAGTGACCTGCTCATTGCCAAGCTACTGAATCAGAGGCAAAACTTGAAGGCAGGTCTTCCTGACCCCAGCCCTCTGTATTTCCTACCTCATGCTTCCTCTGTGGAGAGTGATTCTTGGTAGTTTTGTATGATGGGGGCCATCATCTGTTTCATTTTGTCAAGGGATATGACTGCTCTTCCACTTGAAATCTGGGGATGGGGGTCTGGATAAGCATTCTCTAAACTGTGATCCCAGAACTGACTATCACTGACATGAATAAGGATTTTACTGTTAGCGTCTGTGTTTTCCTCTTGCTGTTCCTTTCTTGTCTATATTCATTGAGGAAAGAAAAAAAAATCAAGAAGTGATCACCTTAGGGGAATAGTAACGATTCTCTTAAAGAAACAACACTGATAACATAGAGTTCATAGCAATTCTATATATTTGGGGCAGAAATGCTTTTGGCCTTCCTAATTCAGTTCTCCAGCTCCCTACCCTTCAATTCAATGAACATTTCACCTTTTATGCACCATTCCTTGCAGGAAGCACTGGGAAAGATAAACCCTGTCAGTTAGGCAAGCACAGATTTTTCCCTCATAGAGCTTGCAGGCCAGCAAGGAGATAACTCCCATACAGACTGTGCATGACTGTTTCATATGTTTCTAGGTGGCCCTTGGGAACGTCTTAGGAGTGCTTCCCAGTCCAGCAGATCTTCTGAGACCCAGCGGACTTTACTATATTCAGGAGGGCAGGGTTATGCCACATACAGATTGTATTCTTGCGTTATTGATAAAGCAAAGGATTTAGCTTGCAGTCTTGTTACTCTGCTGTCTTTCCTAAACATGGAATTTGCCATGAGCAATAAGAATCAAAGATAGTCACCTGATTTTTTGCCCCACATATTTAACTTGTAAGGTCTAAAACAGCGTCATTAGGACAGAACTACACCATTGCTGCTATTTAACAGGGGTCCATTTTACAGTTTAGCAGCCAGTTTGGCTATTCCTAACATAGTCTTTTAAAGAATACTTCAGAATTTGCGTTATTTCATTCAGTCACTATATATATATTTTGAGTGGTCATTGTTTCAACTCTAATTTATTATTGATCTTTCAGGCCCACAGCAGCAGAACTTTTAAAATGCAAATTCTTCCAGAAAGCCAAGGTAAACTGCTTCCTAACTCTCACAAGTCAACCTGCTCTTTTGAGATGATGTTGAATTTCTGTGCATCTTAGTTGATTTTAACTGGTGGAATGTTTGTTTTACAGAATAGAGACTATCTGATTGAAAAGCTGCTCACGAGGACACCGGATATAGCACAGAGAGCCAAAAAGGTAAGGTCCTTTGGTTGGTACGTCCCAGTGGGAGTATGTTCCATTGACAGAACTGGCTTTCCTAGGGAAGTCAGGAAGCCGCTGTGTCAGGCAAAGATAGATCATGTAAAGACTGATTTTCTGGTTGATGATTTACCAAAAACCCTCCTTTTTGCTGACAATTCTGTCCATTTTGCTGCTTGGCTATGTTTTCACATTGGAATGACTAAAACTCAGCAGTTTTGGTAAAAGGGGAAAAGAAGGTTGTGGGAAAAGAGGCAGGACCTATTGAATAAAATGAGGTTTTAGGATTTCAGATGTACCCAAGCCCTATTAGCAGTGATGATAATTGGGTATTAACGGGCAAAATCAGTCAGGGTTTCTGATGTAGTCTTAGATGACAAAAATAAAAATTGGTTGGTTTTGGTTTGAATGAGTTCTGGGCTTTGGGTATTTGCTCATAAAAGATCTGGAGCCTCTCCGCTGTTAGACCATCTTTTTATTTGTATGGGCTGATGAGAAGAATTAAAGTGATGTTCACCTTGGGCTATAGTTTTTAAAGTGGCTGGGTTTGTCTATTACAGATTTTGTGCTAGTATATTTGGAGATTTTATTTTATGTTTGGCACACAGTCAGAGAGAGAGATCATTTATTTTAAAATTAGAATAGGTATTTTTAAAAAGTGCTAATTTTCTATACATATTTTGCTTTTTATGAGATTCAGGAAAGTTGGGTTTTGGGTTATTTTATTTTCTATTTTAGTAGCATGGTAGAAAATGATCTTTTAAAAACACTCTAGAATTGTTACTTCAGTAAGGCAGTGTATTTATTAAGTACCTTAATAAGAAAGGAGACAGTAAGCTGTCTGAACCTGAATATTCTGAACTATGAATAAGATTGTGAAAAAAATTTACAAAACAGTTTCCAGTTATTGTCTATGGGAATTACCATCATTGAACATTAACCTCTTAACACTGCATTTTATTGAAATTTTATGTAACATGACTGAATTTAGCTGACGACTTCAAATTCAAGTTTTAAAGCTTTTCTGAAAAGGACTTCAAGGACTAATCTCTTAGGACTCTAAGTTACAGAATTGTTGCTGAATTTCTATCCTGTGAATTCCTCACACTGATAAAATCATAGATCTGGACTGGGAGAAAAAATAAAAGCTTAATTACAGAGACATTTAAGGAACAACCTTTATGGGGTGAGAAGCAGATAACTAGAAATCTTTAAAGACCCAATTGGATATAGAATACCCATAAAGTAGATTTATCAGTAAGTATAAATTGTATCAATCCATCTACTTACCCACATTTATGGAAATATTTGAATAGTAAAATAATAATAACATGATTTAGTGTCAATTTTATTTGTCCTGGGGAGTGATTGGTTGTTTCCAAGTTCTGTCAGGTGTGAACTTCTAAAATGTATATTAAATAGCCCATTGGGTTAAGGGAGCATTATGTTTGATGATAGTAAGAGGAAGTGTGAGGACTTTTTTCCCTTTTCACAAAAATATATTTATTTTGAAAATCAGTAATCTATTCTGTTCAAATTTAGAGTTAGATACCAGTATGAAGTACCTCAAGCATCAGCCTGTACCCCCAAGACAAAATTTTAGATAATGATCTTAAGTAAATGTAGTGTATTTTGTCTTTGTGTTCCTGTACTTTTTGTTTGTTTTCCTTGAAGATGTCTAAGGAGAAATAATGTCTGCCAGACTCTTTCTTAGTGTAGATGGTATGAGAAGAAGGTGGGGGAGTTCATTATAATTTTGAAGTAAGGTACTGCCAAATCATATTTGTGAGCAAAATATGCTTTTTGTGGACATAATAATTTTAAAGAAATTATTGATTAGATGGCATGATAATACATGAATAAAATTGAATACCCATATAACCCCTACTGCCTTTTATCTTTCTGTTAGATTCAGTGACTAATATTTGTTTCCTAAGGCAATTTCTCCCTGATAATTTAGAATTGTGGGGGCTGGATTTCTTTACTTAAGTGTTTGCTGAGTCATTTTTGTAGTTTTTTAATGAACATGTAATTATCCCCTGGGTGACATTAAAAGTTGCACTGGAAAATTCCACATTCCTCAAAAGTAAGATGTAATAACAGATTTTGCCAATTTCAGTCATCTACATTAATATTTCCCAAGGAAATATTATTTATTGATCAACGTAAAATGAAGTTGGCATTGTTGACATAATTTTGTTTCTAATACCTCGTTGAAGCATATAGGATTTTGTGATAGCTTTTTAACTAGACTGACAAAACTATTCAGCTGAATGTTTTTCATATAATCAGTCGGCAAGCATAATATATATATATATATAATAATGAGAAATTAACATTAACAGGGTACTTTGTTAGGCTTATTAATAAAATGTTTGGATATGATTTAATCTAACTCTCCTGTTTTACAAGGAGATAAAATGAAGTTTAGATGTAGTTTTTCAACCAAATCCTCTGTCACTTAATTGCTGCTTTATTGTGACATTGGGCAAGTCATTGACCCTTCTGGACCTCAGTTTTTTGATCTGTAAGATCAGAATTGGGCTGGATCACCTTCAAGGTCACTTCAGCTCTAACATTTTGAGATTCCAAGATTTTAGAACTACCACTTACAGTAATCTTGTGTTTATTTTCTCATCTCTTAAAATGAAAGATGGTCATTGAAAGGAGAGCTGCAGTGATCACAAAAGCACATACCCTCATGTTAGGAAGTGAGCTTGGAAATTAGGTAGTCCAACCCATAACTGAACAAGAATCTTTATAAATAATAATTATCATTGTAATAATGTCACATGTACATATATAACACTTTGGCTGTTTTATCTCATTTAGTTGCCACAAAAACCCAGTGAGGCAGGCCCTCATTTTATAGTGGAGGACATTAAAGCTCAGTTACATGATTTGCCTGAGCCTCACACTAGTAAGGACTGAGGCAGGCTGTAAATCTAGATATTCCTGATTTCAAGTCCACTGTTTCATCTGCTCCTGCTCCTCTAATGTCTGCTGCCTTTTTTATTATGTACTCAACAAGTCATCACCTTACTTAAAGACAAATGATTAAGAATTCACTCTCCCTTACTGTGTTACTTGTTTCATTTTTTAATAGCTCTCATTGTCAGGCGATACATCATGGCATAGGGTAGAAGATCTTAATCTAGGGTCTGTGAACTTATAAATACACACCCACGCACCCAGCATTTCAGTGTATTTGGTTTCCTTTGTAATGTTCCATATTTTATTTTATGCATTTGACAACATCATTCTGAGAAGACATCCATAAGCTTCCTTAGGTTGCCAGAGATGGTGTGGAGAGAGGGGAATCAAATGTAGACTCAGGAAGAGGTGGGTTTGGGTTCCTCCTCTGATGCTTACTAGCTATTTGGTCATGGGCAGGTCTCTCTGATTTTCAGTGCCATCTCTCTTAAGACTAATATTTAAAGATGAATTGCTGATTTACATTGATGGGAGGGTTTCCACACCAAGAATTCTTCACACTGTTGAAATTATTAGACTATATCTAACTTTCCCCTCAACCTCTATAGTCCCTTCCCCAAAATAAACAAAACATAAACCTCTACCTTAAAAACAAATTATCAGGAAATTTTACTTTTATTATCTGGGGGCAAATATTCTTCTTCATCCTGACAGCCTTTCACAATTTTAAGAAAACTGTTATGTCTCACTTGATTCTTCTGTTGACCCAGGCAGGAATCCTCTCCTTGATTCCATCATTTGTCATATGTTACAGTTTCTGGTCCTCTCACCATCTTGGATTCCCTGTTCAGGACTTACTATAGCTCTTCAAAGCTCTTTCTAAAGAGAATGTACTCCAGTTTAACAGTCTTCTGAAATGGGGTACTTCAAATAAATATGCAATAGACGTACAAATATATGTATGCTATATGCATGTATATAGAATGAGATATGTATAGATAAAAATCACACAAAGCCAGAAAGGAGTGGGAAAGAAGAATTTAAGTACAAAGAGTATGTACTTGGGTCATTTTTTTGGACAGTTATCTTTTTTATTTAGTTGTTAATCTTCTTCTCTTTGACCCTCTCTGTCTCAGCTTATTTTCAGCTTCTAAGTCATCTAAACCTTGCCCCTTTTTAGAATATACAGTATTTCATAAGATCGTAGGGTAAGTGATTTAGATCTGGAAGGGGGTCTTCCAGGCCTTCTTGTTTAAATCCCTTATTTTGTAAATGAGAAAACTGAATTTATTAGAGGTTTAATTACTTGCCCAAGGTTAGACAGTTTTCTTAATTTAATCATTTTGCTTCTGATTTGTGTCCTCTAACCTATATCCCTCTGTACAGTTTTTGTTTGTTTTCTTGAGGTATTATTTCTTTATCAGGTTCTCTTCTGCTCTTTTATAGTGAAATCATGTGACATTACTGTTTCTGCCCTGAATTGTTTCTCATCTCTTATTTCGGCTCTGCTTTTTTTCAGTTGAATAACACAGTATGTTCGAGTGCTTTATAATCTGATTTTTAAAAGAAGAATATTAGTTTGCAATGCAAGCAAAAGCAAATTTTGTTTTCCGCATATTTGTCTAAGAAGATCATTTGCTGAGGCCAGTGTCTAGGCAATAGGAGTTTCTAGAGAATGTGAAATCTTCACATTAGTGTCTTTAGTGTCATTAGTGTTTTTCTAGGACATGACTTTCCATTCTTCATGTTCATTACTATTTGAGAGCTCTCTCAAGATTTTCAACATGATCCTGCAATCTTTCTCAAATGCACAAGGGAAAAATGTATTTGTAAATTCATTTTAGAAGAAATGACTTTTCCGCTAACACTTGACATTGTTAAAAAGTCCTTTTATCATCCAGCTTACATAAGAAGTATTATGGGGAAAAATGAAAATGTGCAGGTTCGTGTGATTTTGGTTTTATTGTTTCTTGATTTCAAAACACATTAGTAGGGAATTCATTCTAGCCATATATACACCATCTTTCAGGATTTGTTTAAAAACTTATGATAAAGGTTTTGAT